ATGGTCTTCCTTGTCCTTTAATTTGAACCATTGCTTGCCAATAGAATGTGTTTACAGTCAATTTTTGATCATATTTCTAGTCTTCCACTATGCTCCGGAAGACCAAGAGCACTGTACATAATTTTGTTTCTAGCATTTGTTTGTAATGCCTCAGGACTTGATGAATATTTTCTGCTAAATGGAAAAAAACTATATGCATTTTGATCTCTAGTGCAGGCACATCAAAGGAGTATACCTATTGTGATTGATGCAGAAAGAAAAATAGAAGGGTTGGATGAGCTTTTACACTTGGCAACCTACATTGTTTGCTCAACGAGATTTCCACAGGCAAGCTATTTGCTCCAGTAAAGTGACGTTCAATGATTTATTTGTTACATCTTTTGATTGGAATTCCATGGATCTACTTAAGATTAGTATCGCCTGGCAAGTTTAAGTTTGTATGGAAAATTAAATTTGTTACTCACTCTCTGTCTCACGTCAAAATATTTATAGCAATTGTTGCAAATATAATATCTTCTTTCCATTGTTATACCATGTAATCATGGAATAAAGTTGATTTTGGAACGATATCTAATAGAAGTGAATGTCATCCTTTGCTTCTCAAGTGGTAAGTAAACATGAAATATACTTAATTTTAATATTGGGCTTAAATTATAGAGGAAGGGTTCCATTACTGAAATGGTAAAAGTTGAACACTGTAAACAAGAGGCGGATGTAACATATTGTATCGTGTTCATCTAAACCTAGTACTTTCGACGTAAATTGCAACAAATAATATATGAACCCATAACTTTAAAGATATAATAGGTTCAATACTAAGGACCTTAAATATTGAACCCCTAAAACTTAAATCATAACTCCGCCTTAGCCATGAATCATTTATCAAAGAATGGCTCTGGTTGTCAAATGTTTGAACAACCGGGAGCAATTTACTTACGAGACTTAGTTGTCATTCATAAAAAAATATCTAACGAATTATGAGTTCAATCCATCCTTTTTAGCATAGATGGATATTCCTTGCTCATTATCAGAACAATCACTTATTCAAGCTTCGTAGGGGGCAATAGTGTTCATTTCCCCGTCTCATGGAAAACCCTTTTTGTTTCACTTAGCCTTATCTCCTAGAGGATAATTTAGTACTAGGTTCTACAGAAATTGGAGATCACGAGTTCAAGTCATAGAAATGACCTCTTGTAAAAATACAGGATAAAACTATCGATCTATAATAGACTTTATGTAGTTCACTATTCTCGAAATTCTGCATATAAAAGGAGTTTAGTGCAATAAACTGTCATATTATTTTAGACAATTTCTAAAGAGAAATTAATTTGTGGATTGGTTTGCAGGCAGCTATTGGGTGCAGCGCCTTGGGAGCAAGATCTGGTCTTCCTCATCTGACTGATCCTTGCTTCTCACCCTTCTTAGCTTAGAATACCAGACAGAAATTTGGACCATTTTAATTTCTGGAATTATGATTTGACTGATTACAAACTTTATAAAACATGAGAAGATCTTGCAATGTAATGAATATTTGTGGATTTGTTGTCAAATAAGTGAAATCCAACATAGGTAAAACGTTGAAAGTATCATTATATATTCTGCAACTCAGTTGCCCCATTCTCTATTCCATTTCAATATTATATTCTGCAACTCAGTTGCTAAATAAAACACTACTCACTGAACGAATTAACTGGCGTTATCGTAAATTCATGAGTTCCAATTTATATTTGATTTTTCCTTTCCCTTATTTTATTTTCTCTTCATTTTTTGTGTGTACATGTTTGACCTTTTCCTCTTTTCTCTCATATTTATTTTGATAATACTACAAGAAAACATGGAATTAGCTATGTACAAAACTTTGCAGCTCAACAATAAAAATTTCATGTTAATCTCATTTTGTTTTGAATTGTGTTTAGATTATATAAAAATTCAATTAGCTAATTCCATGTTTTCTATTGTAATCAGTGTTTTGCCTTTGCTTGAGCATTCCTATTTGATAATAAGGTCTCCAAAGAGAACTAGTAAACTAAAAGAGGGGCAACTCATGTGTACTAGAGTTTAGTTTTGCAATAGATACTGAAGATTAAAGGTGCAATATTGGACCACAATTTTACCCTACAGGGATAGTGGAATCATAAAATTTATATTGTATATATAAGATTAAAATTATTTTTATGTATTGCATCTTACTTTTGTTGAGTTTTTATTCTTCAGAATGTTAAAATCCCTTTAGTGAAAATTCTGATTCCGGCTCTAGTATGCAAAAGGTTGTCCAATGACTATGTTCTCTCTTTCAACCACAATTCGCAGAACAAATATAATTTTTTTTATATATTCATCTAGGCTAGTTGATAACTAATTCTTCTAATCATTGAACGAGTTTGGGCGTATAAACACAAGGAAAATCAGACGATTAAATTAAATATACTCATCGTTAATATACTAAATTAAAGTAGGAAGCAAAAATATATAGTAATTGATTTTCGTTATCTATAATGAGTAATGACGGTCTATGAGTCACATGACAGATTTTAATATTCAAAAAAGGCGTTCATCCTATAAAATAATCTTGCTAACTACTTTAGCCAGCAAAAAATACATCAAATCAATTTTTTATATAAGGTGTTATGGTCTTATGGATAGTTTATACCGATGAAATTGACACGTACGTTTAAGACATTATAGAGTCGGAAGCCTCGAATTGCCCATCAAAATGATACATCCTAAGAAATTAAATATAAAACTTTTCAATTTTATGGTTCTAATTTAAAGTTATGTCAAATGTATCAAAACGTGATTTAATCATGTGGCCTTAAACATATCAGGTAGAAAGTTGAAATTAAAATATTGCCAAAATAAGGAAAGAGCACTTTTTAAGATAAATTTAAAAAATAATAAATTATTTTTTTTGAAACGAAAGTAGTACATTTTAGAAAGATGAAGTCAAAGGACTCAAATTGCTGATGAAAATGATACGTTTTTGGTATAAAGTTGAAGACTCAGAATTTCAGATGAAAATGACACATTGTGCATAAATTCGAAGATCTCAAATTGCCTTTTAAATAAATTGTTCCACATTTTAGACAACAAAAAGTGAAGGACTTGAATTGCTGATGATTGGACATAAACTCGAACTGTTGATAAGAATGACACATTATTGTGCATAAAGAGTATGGACTCAAATAGCCGATTAAAAAAGACAAATTTTGGACAATAAGTCGAAGGCCTCGAACTCTATACAACTTTTAACGACAATAAATTTACACATTAAGTGTTAAATCTTTTAACAATATTAGTTAATTGTCATTAGATTCAATATCGTTATAAGTTTTAGCAACATTTACTAAGAGTGCTAAAATGTAATTGACACTAGTAATTGTCTTGAAAAAAAGTATATTTCACGTCAATTAAGATATTATTGTTATTAAATGTTACTAGAAATTATTTTTGACACGGTGACTGTTTATGAAAATGACACATGTTATCTCATGTATTCAGGTTAGAAAAAATAGAAACAAAAAAAAATGAAACAGAGAGAAAAATAAATAATCCGAGTCCACAGAAGCAATTGTGTTTCCTTAAGAAATTTAATCCCCTAAAGTATCTGAGGTTGTAGATTAATTCCTCCCGGGATAAAACAAATTTGCTATTAGAGAAGTAACGGTACCTCAAACTTCAATAATTTCAGTGAACTCAAGAACAACAACGAGAGCACACACAGACCCAGTCGATCGACAATTTGATTTGTAAGAAAATGTATGCAGAAGAGAGAAAAATGTTCAATGTTTGAAAAACGAGAAAAATCTCGCTATTTATAGCCAATTGCAGCAAGGAATGCGTCTAGCGAATTTTCAAATAATTCTTTTTACGTGAAATTAATTCTGTTAATTAATTAACATTCTAAATTATTTTTTAAGAAAAGGAAAATTAATTAATGAGATTGATTAAATAAAAAAATATTATCAATCACATCATTTGCCAAATTCAAATCCGAGGCCGAGCAACAACGCAGGGGACACCTTCTTCTTGACCCTTTAAGAGCTAAAGGAAATATTTCCTAATATAAGGACAACATTTTTTCTTTCTTTCTACCAATATGGGAGAACTAGTTTTTCATTTTCAAAGACCTTTCATTTAAAATGACTTTTCATTTTCCTCCAAATTGATTCTCCACATTTCTCAATTTCTCATTCATTCTTATTTCTCATTCACACCTTGCTAAATCCCAACAACACCTTCTTGTGCATTAAGTCGAAGGACTCACATTCAGCTGGAAATGACACATTTGAGACAAGACAATAGAAGGACTCGAATTGAAAATGAAAATGGTCGCTCATTTTAGACTTGCAATCGAAGTACAATTTACGAACTGTAGATGAAAATTACACATTATTGTGTACACATTCAGTAGGTCTCAACTTTCTAATGAAATACTTCAAGAAAATGATCAAAAGAGTCCTTAATGTATGGGCTTAGATTGATTTGATCCCTCATATATGCATCTTATGTAAAAGGTCCTTTATGTATGCTAAAATCTTATCAATTTAGTCTTCCAGCCTAAAAACTAGGACACAAGAAAAAATCTGTGAAATTAAACACTATCATGTAGATCCTTAGCCAAGTGTACTTCTACTCTTGCCTTAACTTCACATCCTCTTGTATTGATCATAGCAGTTTTATCAAGAGATAGTAATACTCCAATTTTTTTCACGATTTGATTCACAACATCCCAATGATAGCAATGTCTCGACGAAAAGCAATATAAATTCTTACCACAACAGGGGCTCGATCCCATGGGGTTTCTTTTGATTAACATCGTTCAATAATGGAAAAACTTGTGTCAATTGATTTTACAAGAAAAGGGATTTTTTGTTGGAAAGGCGAGAGTTTTCACCCTTTGAATTATTATTTTTTGAATCACCAATTTGATTTACGAAACTCAAATATATTGAAATTGCAGAAGCACATTATTCAGATAACAACAATTCAATCCAACACAATTAGCAAATATATGCTTGGTAAGGCTTTCCACAGTGTATCAAGCTTTCAGCACCCAAGAAGAGACCAAAAATGGCTGCTCTTCCCAAAGTAGTTTGTCCAATATATCTGATTTTCAAGAGTCTAGACACCTTGAAACTAACAGCTTCATAAGTTCCATATACAGCACCAACTGCACCGCCAACAGTTACTCTCGCTAGACAGCTATCTCTTGCCATATCTCTCTTCTCAAATGAGGCGTTTCGCAGAGCCACAACCACCCTTTGGAACTGATGACAGAGGTTCTGTATAAAAATTTTGTATGTCACGTGAGTTGCACATCTCTGTTTAATTTGACGGAGTTTTTCTAGTGTCGTTAGATTTTTAGGGTGAAAGACTAAATTGATAAGCTTTTAGCATACATAAAGGACTTTTTCCATAAGTTGCATACATGAGGTACCAATCAATCTAAGTCCATACATTAAGGACTGTTTTGATCATTTTCTCGAAATACTTCCTCTGTTACAATTTAACCTAACACGGAGCTTAAAAAGAGTAAAGAAGACTTATAATCTTAAATTAAAAATATTTGATATGTACCAGAACATCCTTTAATCATGTAAACTCATAATGACTTAAAAAATTATGAAAAAGAAAAGAAATATTCTTATTCTAAACGGACTAAAAAAATGAATAATTGAAACGACAGAGTTTGCATGAAGGCAACTTAGATGAAAATGACACATTTTGGACAAAGTTTGCCTGATGGGAACTTAGATGAAAATGACAAAATTCTGCAGGACCTAGAATTCCTGACAATGCTAACCACCAAAGTTGTCTTTTGTACTAATTGTATAAGTAATAGATCACGAGAGGCATTAGGCACACAACTAAAAGAAAACAAAGAAGAACTAGTTCAAGTTTCTGTTCGAAATTTGCTTCTTCAATGGCAGAAGAAAGAACAACAACAGATTTTCAATATGCTCCTCCTCCTGCTCAGCTCGCGAACATTCTAATTCTAGCCTCTGTATTTGGTCCTCTCACATTGGCATCTTATTTATCACTTCTTTTCCCCTGTCTCTATTCCATTTCCATCTTATACTCTGCAATTCGGTTGCTCTATAGCACATTTCCCTAAATAATGAACTGGTTTTATCATAAATTCGCTAGTTTCATAAACAGAGTCAGTTCCGAAAACCAAATTAGTACTGTTTGATTGATTATACGTTGATTCAAATTCCTGATCTTTCGTAGAACAGTTGAGTTACCATGTTTGATCTTTTCTCAATTTCTCGGAACAGGGATTTGAACAGAAAAAACAATACAACTACGTATGTGTCTTCTTTTTTTTAAAAATAAATTGGGGTCAAACTGTACTTGTAGTTTGTTGTCTTTCAGTGCAAGTTAAACTCATACTATTGTTCTTATATATCCTTTGTGATTAATTTAACTGAATTATGAAAGTGATTGTGTATTATAATGTAGTACTATATAGCTAATTAAAGAATTTTTGTTGGTACGAAGAAAATTGAGAGAGAACCTCAATCGCTATTGGATTAAGAGTTCTTTGATTATCGACAAATTAGGGACTAGTGCAAGTTGAGTAAGACACAAAATAAAATATTTGGATCAGTAACATGTGTCTTTGCCCGTAAATCGTTTGGTAAAGTGTATAAGAATAATGAAAAATATAGTGTATTAGTAATGCTTGCATTAGTAATGCTTGCATTAGTTATGATAAGATTTTTATTGGGTATGTAGCAAGAGTTAATGGGAAATGGAGGGAAGATGAAAGAGGAACTTGAAAAATTTAGAACTTGAAAAGTCCTCTTATGCTTTATTGAAAAGACATTTGTCTCTCATCGATGGTGGAAAGAAAAATAGGAGAATTTAAATATAGAAACACTCCTATTAATTGTTAAAAGGTTGGAATCAATTGAATCTAAAGATAAAAATGATTCGGAGTGATAGGGGTGGAGAATACGAATCTCCTTTTGCAGGGATATGTTTGGAATATGCTATTATTCATCAAACTACTGCCCCATATACACCACAATCAAATGGTTTGGCAGAACGGAAGAATAGAACATTGAAGGAAATGATGAATGCCTTGATAATCAGTTTGGTTCACCGCGAAACCTGTGGGGGGAAGCCATTCTTACGGCTAACTGAAACGACCCCAAAAATGCCCGAAAATGTGC